CAGATTAAGTTTGGATTTCTCAACAGAAACCATGCAGGCAAGAAGGCAATGGGGAGACATATAAAAAACCCTGAAAGAAAAAAACTTCCAACCAAGAATCCTCTACCCAGCAAAGCTGTCAATCAAATATGATTACATAATCAAAACATTCCAGGATACACAAAAGCTAAGGAATTTTACCAAAGCCATCCATGCTATGAAAAACATCCTAAAGAAGTTCTGTGGACTGAGAACCAACAAGAATAGACAACAACTACTGAACAACGTACGTGGTAGCATCACTCTGAAATCAATCGACAAATGGCAGAGTCAAAAACAGAATAAAATTGTAAGAACTGAGGATCTGGGAGGTCAGTCTATAATCAAAACAATTACAATGTGAAAAAAGGTAAACACATAGTAACAGAGATTCAGGTGGTGGGAAGGTCAGGTAGATCACAGGATAAAACAGACTGTCTTAAACGGGGGGTAGAACTAATGGAATATAAGGTAATCATAAAGGGGTTGGGGTGGGGGGTTTACTTTGGGTGTTGGGGAGGGCAATACAAGAAAGGGGGGGGAGGTGGAAGAACAAGATCGATAGGAGAACACTGAGACAGGTTTGCATGGCCTAGTGGGACAGAGGTAAATAGTGATGCATACTCAACCTTGGAACAACAGGGCACTGGGATACAGGGATCTAGGTATAGCTTGAAGAGGGGAAATAATACTAAAATCCTTGACTGCCTTATGAATATTAGTTTCCCTTGCCTACTATTGTAAAATAGACACTTGAGTGGGATAGAAAGGAATGTTGGGAAATATTATTAGAGAAAACCTGTAAGCCCGTCTTCAGCCTATAACTGACTGGAATACCAAAAAGGGGTTCTGGAACTTGCCCACTGATATAGGCCTCGTGCGAAGCCTTTACAGAGTATAGGACCTTAGATGGAATCCTGAGTCCCATCCAGAACCTTATGAGGTGGGACATTCCCACTAGAAAGGACAAGCAGACTAGAAGAGCTACAGTGACAGAAGATACATCTTCAAAGAAAGATCCAATCAAGTTCCTTCAGGACAAACTCCCCTCTAAGACTGAAACTCAAAGGGAATATACAAACAAGCATATAACCTTGCTGGCAACCACATTGGTCTACTGGTGAGTGGAAGAGGCAGAAAGGCCGCAATGAAGAAATGGGCTGAGTTCAACCCCAGTCCATTGAATCATGTTGATCTGGAGATGGGAAAGAGGAGGAAGGGCTGGTTGATCCAAAGTGTGGTAAGACCTGAGGACACTTGAGCCCATGGACAAGGACTTAACTACAGAGGGCTAGAGCTGAGAGTGCACCATCCAGCTGATATGAAATGAGGGGAGATGCACAAGAACACCCAAACTTGCATACAGTACCCTTTTGACCTAACCTCGATGGCTCGATAATCAGAACTCGACTAGAGGAAGATTGAAAAACAACGATAAAGGAAACAAGGATAAATTGCTTAAATTTGATGAACCTGACCTATACTCAGAGCAGCAGTTACTCTAAATACCAATAGAGAGGGAAAGCGTCTTCACATCAAATATCACTGCTATCCCCTCTGTACACAGGTAGATAGGTACGGGCAACTTAGACATTGGCTACCTAAAATGAGGGGGCAATAAAGGCACGAAGTGATTGGCTTACAAGGTTTCAATAGGAAGTTTAGTTTAAGAGT